GTGGAATTGCTGGGCTGTATGGTAGCTCTACTTACGTCCTGAGTGGCTGCAAACTCTTCTACAGCAGCTGCGTTTCACATCCCCCCCAGCAATGCGTGAGGGTTGCAATTTCTCCCACCCTCCCTGACACTTGACATTTGTCTCTCTGGATTCCATCATCAGTTTCATAAGGGAGAATTCTATCCTAAAACATGTCCTCCCCGTCCACATGTGACTGCCAAGTCTTCCTTCCTCCTCAGTGGACATTTTGTCTATTCCTGTAGTCACCATTCCCTGCTCTCCGACTTTTTTTTTTGAGACAGAGTCTTGCTCTGTTACCCAGCCTGGAGTGCAGTGGGGCAACCTTGACTCACTGCAACCTCCGCCTCCCGGGTTCAAGTTATTCTCCTGCCTCAGCCTCCTGAGTAACTGGGATTACAGGTCCCCACCACCACGCCCAGCTAATTTTTGTATTTTTAGTAAAGATGGGATTTTACCATGTTGTCCAGGCTGGTCTTGAACTCCTGACCTCAGGTGATCTGCCCACCTGGGCCTCCCAAAGTGCTGGGATTCCAGACATGAGCCATCCCACTCAGCCTTCTCTCCCACTTTCTCACCATCAGGCCCCATTTCCATGCATAGAGCCTTCCTCACAAAAAGTCCCCATAGCTTCACAGCCAGGCCTTCGCTTTGGCCATTGCCTCCTCCAGGTAGCCCTCATGGCCTGTATGTGGACTTTCCTGTCACTGCTTATATTTGTCCCTGCCCAAATCTCATGTGGAAATGTAATTCCCAGTATTGGAGGAGGGTCCTGGTGGGAGATGTTTAGGTCATGGGGATGGATCCCACATGGATCCATGCTGTTTTCTCCATAGTGAGTTCTTGTGAGATCTAGTGTTTAAAAGTGTGTGGCACCTCCACACACCCTCTCTTGCTCCTGCTCTAGGAATGTGATGTGCCTGCATCCTCCTGCCATAAGTAAAAACTCCGGGAGGCCTTCCCAGAAGCCCAGCAGATGCTGGTGCCATACTTGTACAGCCTGCAGAACTGTGAGCCAATGAAACCTCTTTATCAATTACCCAGGCTCACGTATCTTTTTTTTTTTTTTTTTTTTTTTTTTGAGACAGAGTCTCACTCTGTTGCCCAGGCTGGAGTGCAGTGGTGTGATCTCAGTTCACTGCAACCTCCACCTCCCAGGTTCAAGCAGTCCTCTTGCTTCAGCCCCCTGAGTAGCTGGGATTATAGGTGTGCACCACCATACCCAGCTAATTTTTTTTTTAAGACAGGGTTTCACCTTGTTGTCAGGTTGGTCTCAAACTCCTGACCTCAGGTGATCCACCCTCTGAGACCTCCCAAAGTGCTGGGATTACGGGCGTGAGCCACCTCACCCAGCCTAATTTTCCTATTTTTAGTAGAGACAGGGTTTCACCATGTTGGCCAGGCTGGTCTCAAATTCCTGGCTTCACGTGATCTGCCTGTCCCAGCCTCCCAAAGTGCGAGGATTATAGGCACGATCCACAGCACCCAGCCTCAGGTATTTCTTTATAGCAATGCAAAATGACCTAACACAGTGCTCCTTTCACAAGCTCCTCTTTGAATCTCTAAAAGCAGCAAGAATCAGATCCTTGCCAATTTGGGTTTAGGGGAAATAAAAACAGCAGTGTTCAAGGATCTATTTTATCATCAGATATCCTCCGGATGTCCTCTAGAGGTCTTAATCCCACCCTCCTCTTAATCACCTTCATAAAAATTACATCATGATTGTACTTTATCAAAGTTGAATAGTTGCCCTCTGTTAATCTGGGTAGTAGCCTTCTTTACCAGACTGGAAGCACCTTGAGGGTAAGTGTATTAGTCAGTTCTCATGCTGCTCATAAAGACATACCCGACTAACTTATAAAAAAGAAAACTTGTAACGGACTCACAGTTCCACGTGGCTGAGGAGGCCTCACAAACTTGGTGGAAGTTGCAAAGCACATCTCGTATGGCCACGGCAGCAGACAAAACAGACTGAGAGCTAAGTGAAAGGGGAAACCCCTTATCAAACCATCAGATCTCGTGAGACTTACTCACTACCAGGAGGACAGTATGGGGAAGACCGCCCCCATACTGTTCAATTATCTCCCACAGGATCCCTCCCACAACAGGTGGAAATTCTAGGAGCTATAATTAAAAATGAGATTTGACAGGGGACACAGCCAAATCTTATCAGTGGGGATCCCGTCTTGCTCTCTTTGTGCCAAGGATAGTAGATGCTCAATTAATGTATTGAAATAGCTTTTGTTGAAAAAAGTTTTAAGTGTAGTGTTCCACCAAAATTAAAAAAAAAAAATTCTCGAAAAGTAAAATGCATCGTAACTTGTATACAGCATGCAATTTTTATGTCTTTATGTATATGTGGCAACGCTACAGCATGGCTGTTTGAACCCAAAATTCCTCACGGCTTTCCTCAGAACCCCAGGGCACCAATGAGAATACTGAGTGAGACAGCCTAAGCCAGTCTGCTAAACACTGGAGGTGAGCCTTGAGTCACAGTGCCCCACCCGGTCAGATCAGTGCTTCCCCCCATCCCAGCGCTCACAGTCCTGGCTCATCATTTCACCATCTAAAAAGAAAAGAGCATGGCCACTGTCAGAGCTTGTTAGCCTGTATCTGTGCTGCAGATGAGCAGCATTTCAAGTCGTCTTGAGTAAAGTCTATGTTGCTGGCAATAGTTGTGTTATCCTGACTTCTCTTCCCCAAGACCTGCTCTCTGTAAGAGATGTGTTATGAAATGCTGTCAAGTCTTGCTTCTCCCTTTCTTTCCTTTGGGAGCACCCAGCCAATGGAAGCCTCACAGGTGCAGGCAGTCAGCGATCAGAAGATGCTCCACAGGTGCCTCCCCCAGGCTTCCAATAACCAACTGCTCACATACACGCTCTGGAACCCAGGTGAGGCAGGAAAGGACATCATACATCCCACAGGTTCGGTGTCCACAGCCTTTTAGCTTCTAACTAGAGCGGGGGCTCTCTACCTTTATGGCTGGGCAGCAGCAGCATAACCTAGGAGCCTACCAGAAATGCAAATCCCTGAACCCCACCTTTCCTACTGGGGTAGGGCCCAGCAATCTGCACTTGGCCAAGTGTTCTAGGTGATGGGAGACTCGCTCAAGTGTGAGAACTGCTAACTGGAGTTAGTTAGTTCAGAGAGAGCTCCACCCCAGCAGTCCCTAACAGGGTGGAAGGGTGCTCCCTGTTTCCGAAGCCAGAAGACAGAGAATAGAGGAGACCTCCCTTCAGGTTCACGCGAGTGAGGGCTCCTCTGGCAACTGGCTAAGGGCTTCTTTGGAAGCTGCACGGATGGCGCAGGTAGACAATATTGTTCCCAACAGCCTCACGTGGGGCGTGGGCACCCCGCTTCTCCAGCACAGAGATTCATGTAACTTCCGTTTTTCCCTCTGATACTTATGAAAGCCTGAGTCCTGAGTTGCAGCCTCCCTTAGCGAACTTCATGAATCCTTGCCAACCAGGCCACCTACAGCGTCATTATAATTCCAACAAACTAGAACACGCCCAGAGATGCTGCCTAGATAGTATCAGCTTTGGGCTCAGAATGGAGACAACAGTGCAGGGGCAGGGGAGGGGCAGGAAGAGCCAGGAAGACAGAGCTGGAGGAAGGGATGGAGTGCTCAGGGAGTCGCAGGTGGCGTCCGCACTTACAAAATGCTGGCTTTTACATTTGGAGAATTTCGGCCTCTGGAGCCGAGGAGAAAGAACTGCAGTTCACTTCTTTGGCATCTCCTTCCAGGGCCAGGGAGATCCTAGAACGCCAGTTGAATGCCCATGGCAAGTTCCTGGTACCAGTTCTATTACTTGGGGCCAGCCAAATTTAAACAAATAGAGTGTGGAGTGAAGGAAGGAGAAGAGTCAGGTGAAATAGGAAAAAAGGAGGGACAGCCAGGTGCAGTGGCTCTCGCCTGTAATCCCAGCACTTTGGGAGGCCGAGACAGGTGGATCACTTGAGGTCAAGAGTTCAAGACCAGCCTGGCCAACATGGTGAAACCCCATCTCTACTAAAAAATATAAAAATTAGCTGGGCGTGGTAGTGTACACCTGTAAACCCAGCTACTTGGGGGGCTGAGGCAGGAGAATCGTTTGAATCCAGGAGGCAGAGGTTGCAGTGAACTGAGATTTTTCCACTGCGCTGCAGCCTGGGCGACAGAGCAAGACTCCACCTTAAAAATAAAAGAAAAAAGAGGCCGGGTGCGGTGGCTCACACCTGTAATCCCAGCACTTTGGGAGGCCGAGGTAGGCGGATTACCTGAGGTCAGGAGTTCGACTAGCCTAGCCAACATGGTGAAACCCTGTCTCTACTAAAAATATAAAAATGAATGAATAAATAAATAAATAAAAAGGGACTGGCAGATTTGCCCCCTTTGACCTGCATCCAGCCATTTCACACTCAGCTGCTTCTTGCCATCTGCTTGCAGGACTGGCACGTCAGAGCAGTCGTGACCATCTTAGCATCCTCGGAGCCTGTGGCTAATTCAAATCAGACAGAGTCAGACTGCTGAGAAGAAAATGATAGAAACAAAGTATTTATTATTTTCCTTTTTTTTTTTTTTTTGAGACGGAGTTTCGCTCTTGTTACCCAGGCTGGAGTGCAATGGCGCGATCTCGGCTCACCGCAACCTCCGCCTCCTGGGTTCAGGCAATTCTCCTGCCTCAGCCTCCTGAGTCGCTGGGATTACAGGCACGCGCCACCATGCCCAGCTAATTTTTTGTATTTTTAGTAGAGGCGGGGTTTCACCATGTTGACCAGGATGGTCTCGATCTCTTGACCTCGTGATCCACCCGCCTCGGCCTCCCAAAGTGCTGGGATTACAGGCTTGAGCCACCGCGCCCGGCCTTATTTTCCATTTAAAAAAAAGGAAATAGTGCCCAAGAGAGGAACGTTCCTAAGGAAACCCAGCGCTTCTTGCTGTGTCTTCTCTAAATGACGAACCCCCTTTGGCAAAAGAAAACAATTAATGCAACTAGAACTGCCTTGTGAGAGCAAAGTTTAATTCTAACCCAGAATTATAGTAATTGTTGAAAGTTCTATGAATTCCACCATACTGTGTAGGAATTATTACTCAGACTTTTCCCACCCTATAACTCCTGAAAAACCAAAGTGGTAAACCACATCTGGCATAACTGAGGAAGTAAAGTACATTTCCTGATCATCAACCATCACGGAAAAGCACACTTAATTTGCATCTCAAGTCGTCTGGAGTCAAGTCTACGTTGCTGGCAATAGTTGTGTTAACCTGACTTCTCTTCCCGTAACAGAGATACGGGATATGCTGTGAAATGCTGAAATGCTGTCACTTAAGTCTTGCTCCTCCCTTTCTTTCCTTTGGGAGCACCCGGCCAGTGGAAGCCTCGCAGGTGCAGGCAGTCAGCGACGTTGTGGGCGATATAGTAGAGGTTCAGCATGGCCGCTGGGCTGAGAATGTCCACTTCCGGTTTCTTCTGTTTCTTCCCATGAGACTTGCCCTGGCCTTTTCCTTTTTTCCCTTTACCTGGCTTTCAAAGACAAATATAAATATGGAAGGAGGGAAGTTAGTTTTTCATTTTATTTTATTTTTTTTTTTCAGATGGAGTTTCACTCTTGTCACCCAGGATGGAGTGTAATGGCACAACCTTGGCTCACCTCCACCTCCACCTCCTGAGTTCAAGCGATTCTTCTGCCTCAGCCTCTGGAGCAGCTGGGATTACAGGCATGCGCCACCATGCCCTGCTCATTCTATATTTTTTGTAGAGACAGGGTGTCTCCATGTTGGTCAGGCTGGTCTCAAACTCCTGACCTCAGGTGATCCACCTGCCTCAGCCTCCCAAAGTGCTTGGATTACAGGTGTGAGCCACTGGGCCCGGCCTCTTTTTTTTAAGACAGAGTTTCACTCCCACTATCCAGGCGGGAATGCAGTGGCATGCTGTCAGCTCACTACAACCGCCAAATCCTGGGCTCAAATGACCCTCCTGCCTCAGCCTCCCAAGTAGCTGGGATTACAGGCACCCACCACAGCTGGCTAATTTTTGTATTTTTAGTAGAGTCAGGGTTTCACCATGTTGGGTAGGCTGGTCTCTTCCTGCCTCGGCCTCCAAAAGTGCTGAGATTACAGGTGTGAGCCACCGCACCAGGTCGAGTTAGTTTTTATAAACTTGATATCATTTTCAGTATTTCTGTATTGAACAAGAAAAAAATTCCTAAAAAGAAATGAGTGAAAACAGCAGCCACACCAGTTTGCATTGTCTGTCTTCTCTAAATGACAAACCCCTTTGGCAAAAAAAAAAAACAATTAATGCAACCAGGACTGCCTTGTGAAAGCAAAGTTTAATTCTGACCCAGAATTATGATAATTCACATGCAATCTAATTTGCATGGAAGTCACATGCAATCTAATTTGACAAGTGTTTATTAAGCCCCCAGATTAAAAGAGACCCAACCTAATGCAGAGTGTGGCCCTCGTTCAAATTCTTATTTGAACAAGCTGCAAAAAGATGTTTTTGAGTTAATAAGGGAAATCTGATAATGTCAAAGAATTATTAGTAATTCTATGAGGTCTGATAATGGCATCGGATGATAGAAGGAAATGTTTGCACGCTTCTGAAGCGCACACTGAAGTCTGCAGGGATGAAATGAAAGGAGGCTTTAAAACACTGCAGCTCCCCCACTGTCCCTTGCCCAGAAAAAACAGAAAGCAAGTGTGGCAAAATCCTAATCATTCCTGAGTCTGAGAACTGGACATATGAGGATTTACTTCACAATTCTATTTTCGTTTATGTTTGGAAATTTTCGTAATAAACATTAAAACAAGTTTGATAATCAGGATGCAAATATATATTGTGGCATTTGTTTCAGAAGTAGTCTCTACCTCATCAAGCAGTCATGAGACACAAAGATAAGATACCAAGCACAATGTCTGATATGAAAGAAATAATAAATGATGATTTTCATTACTTTCCTTTCTTTTTTTTTTTGGATATAGGGTCCTCCTGTGTCACCCAGGCTGGAGCGCAGTGGCACAAACTCAGCTTACTGTAACCCTGATCTTCCAGGCTCAAGCGATCCTCCTACCTCAGCCACCCAAGTAGCTGGGACCACAGGCGTGAGCCACCACATTTGGCTAATTTTTTTATTTTTGAGTAGAGGCGGTCTCGCTATGTTGTTAGGCTGCTCTTGAACTCCTGGGCTCAAGCGAGCCTCCCATCTTGGCCTCCCAAAGTGCTGGGACTATAGGCTTGAGCCACTGTGCACAGCCTGGGCCATTATCTTTAATACCACCAATCCTCAGAGCTGTATTTCAAGGTAGGTAGGTGGGTATTATTCCTGCCTTCAAAAATGGAAATGTAGGGGCTCCGTGAGGTTACCCAGCACATGAAAGCCCATGTCCACCAGGCTTGGTGTCTTTTCTCCTCCTATGACTGCCCCAGAAGGTTGGTGTTCTCTGGGAAAATGAATGAATACCATACTAAACTGGAAATAAACTTTACATTTTGAGCTTATCAACTTGTTTTTCATGGATTGTGCTTTTGTCATATCCAAGAAATCTTTGCCTAACCCAAGTGACAAACATCTATATTTTCTTCTAGAAGTGTTATAGTTTTTGGTTTTACATTTATATTTGCTAGATAACTGAGTTGAACTTCTCCATGTCCTCTGACTCACACATCCAGAAAATAACAGATGGCAGTATATTATTAAAAAGTGTCTCTTGTGGCCAGGCGAGGTGGCTCACGCCTGTAATCCCAGCACTTTGGGAGACCTAAGCAGGCGGATCACCTGAGGTCGGCAGTTTGAAACCAGCCTGAACAACATGGAGAAACCCGCGTCTCTACTAAAAATACAAAATTAGCCAGGCATGGTGGTGCATGCCTATAATCCCAGCTACTCAGGAGGATGAGGCAGGAGAATCTCTTGAAGCCAGGAGGCTGAGGTTGCAGTGAGCAGAGACCACATCATTGCACTCCAGCCTGGGCAACAAAGAGTGAAACTCCATCACATAAAAAAAAGTGTCTCTTGTAGGCAAGGGAGAGGAGAGGAAGGTATAAGTGTTCAAGGACACTGGCAAGGGCTAAACATTTCTATAAAATACATGTCCTGTTCAAAGCATTTCAGCCAAAAAATGTCCCAAGCTAAACAAAGAGGAACATAGTTTATGTGTTAAAACTACTGAAATTCATTTTTGCTAGGTGAAATGGAGTACATTCCTATATACAGAATCCGAGAATGAAGATGAGACATACCTTGCAATGCAGTTGCCTGGCTTCTCTGAGAGAATCTAAATGAAAATCCTATGTAACTGCATTCTCCTGGCAAAACCACCCCATCAGGTATGGCATGTACATTTTACCAGAAACTCTTAAAGACTTTGGGTCTTGATTTTCTTTATGACCTTATACTTTTTCGCATACCAACCACACTTGACTTAATATATGTGTTTTAATATTTAAAATGGTTTGGGACCTAAAATTTACATAAAAGTTTGATATTTTTGGCCGGGCACGGTGGCTCAAATTTGTAATCCCAACATTTTGGGAGTCCAAGGCAGACAGATGACAAGGTCAGGAGTTTGAGACCAGCCTGGCCAATATGGTGAAATTCCATCTTTACTAAAAATACAAAAATTAGCCGGGCATGGTAGTGGGTACCTGTAGTCCCAGCTACTTGGGAGGCTGAGGCAGGAGAATCACTTGAACCCAGGAAGCAGAGGTTGCAGTGAGCTGAGATCACGCCACTGCACTCCAGCCAGGCAGCAGAGTGAGACTCCATTTCAAAAAAAAAAAAGTTTGACATTTTTATTTGAAGTTCTCATCTTACTGTAAAAATTAGCAAACTGATTCTATGTTCATATGAAAATATGGACAATTCATAAGGAAACGCAAAGGACGTGAGATAAAGGTTTAACATTGTTATTCAAAATTCTCATCTTTTTGTAGAAGATTCCAAAATTCATATGGAAAAGCAAAGGATTCTGAAATAAAGAACCAGCCAGGTGCAATAGCTCATGCCTGTAACCCCCCGCACTATAGGAGACGGAGGCAGGGGGATCACCTGAGGTCAGGAATTTGAGACCAGCCTAGTCACTACGGTGAAACCCGGTCTCTACCAAAAAATACAAAAATTAGCTGAGCATGGTGGCATGCACCTGTAATTCCAGCTACTCGGGAGGCTGAAGCAGGAGAATCACTTGAACCCGGGAGGCAGAGGTTGCAGTGAGCTGAGATTGCACTCCAGCCTGGGTGACAGAGTGAGACTCTGTCTCAAACTCTGTCTCAAAAAAGAACAAAATTGGCAGACTAATACTACCTTATTTCAAAAATTATTATAAACCTACTGTAAAAAGATGGTGTGGTAGTGGTGTCAAGACAGGCAACTAGAACAACGGGACAGAATAGAGTCCAGAAATAGATCTATGCGAATTTGATCAACTAATTTCAACAAAGTATCGGTGGAACAAAGAAGACCTTTTCAACATGTGGTGCTGGAATAACGAATATCCATTTGCAAAACAATGAACCTTAACCCATAGTTGCATCATATATAAAAACTAACTCAAAATAGATAATAGAACTAAATATAAAACCAAAAACTATAACACTTCTAGAAGAAAATATAGAAGATGTTTGTTACCTTGGATTATTAGGGAAATATTTATTGGATATGACATTAAAAGCACAACTCATGAAAACAACTTGATAAACTCACCATCAGCATTTAAAACTTTTGCTCTTCAAAAGATATTAAGAGAATGAAAAGCCAAGCATCAGACTGGGGGAAAATATCTGCAAATCACATAACTCATAAAGTCCTATATGGGGAACAAAAAACTCTCAAAACACAATAGTAAGAAAACCACTCAATAAAACGTATTCAAAGATTGAATAGACCCTGTCCCAAAGAAGATATACACATGGCAAGTAAGCACATGAAAAGATACTCAACATGAACTCATTAGTGAAACGCAGTGAAAACCAGGAGGCACCACCACATACCTTTTGGAATGGCTCAAGTCAAAAATACTGATCCTACTAAGTATTGGTGAAGAAGAAACTTAAACTCTCATGCACTGCTGATGGAAATCTAAAATGACAGAACCACTTTGAAAAACAGTTTGCAGTCTCTTTAAAGAGTTAAACACAGGCCGGGTGCGGTAGCTCATGCCTGTAATCCCAGCACTTTGGGAGACCAAGGCGAGCAGATCACAAGGTCAGTAGTTCGAGACCAGCCTGGCCAATATGGTGAAACCTGATCTCTACTAACAATACAAAAAATTAGCTGCATGTGGTGGCATGTGCCTGTAATCCGGGCTGCTCAGGAGGTTGAGGCAGGAGAATTGCTAGAACCCGGGAGGTGGAGGTTGCAGTGAGATGAGATTTTGCCATTGCACTCCAGCCTGGGAAACAGAGCAAGACTCCGTGGCAAAAAAAAAAAAAAAGAAATTAAAACAAAAAAGTTAAACACATGTCTACCATATAACCCAGGCATTCCACTCCTGAGGTGGAAATAAAAGGATATGTTCATTCGAAGACTTTTACATGAGTGTTCACAGTAGCTTTATTTGTAATAGCTAAAACCTGGAAACAGGCTGCACGCAGTGGTTCATGCCTGTTATCCCAATGCTTTGGGAGGCCAAGGTAGGAGGATCGCTTGAGCCCAAGAGTTCAAGATCAGTCTGGGCAACAAAACAGGATCCCATCTCTCTCTCTATTTTTTAAAATTAGGTGTGGTGGTGGTATGCATCTGTAGTTCCAGCTAAGATGGGAGGATCAACTGAGCCCAGGGAAGTCAAGGCTGCAGTGAGCCATGATCATGTCACTGCATTCCAGCCTGGGTGACAAAATGAGACCCTGTCTCAAAAAAAAAAAAAAAGAATCCAAAAGCCCAGCAGCAGGTGAATGGATACTCCATGGTATAACCATACAATGGAACACTACTCAGCAATAAAAAAGAATAATTACTGATGCATGCAACAATGTGGATGAATTTCCAAATAATTATGCAAGTAAAAAAGTCAGCAAAGTAAAAAAAAAAAAACAAACATAATGTATGATTGCATATATATAAAATCTTAGAAACTATAATCCAGAGAGAGGGTAGACCAGTCGTTGCCTGGGAGGCTTGGGAGGGAGTCGGGGTGCTGAGAGGGGCAAGAGAGAAAGGTGGATTACCAAAAAACGGGGCGATGGCTGTGTTTATAATCTTGATTGTGGTGATGGCTTAATGAAGGCACACATCTGCCAAACTGATCAAAGTGTGCTTCATTTTTATTTATTTTTTGAGGCAGGTCTCACTCTGTTGCCCCGGCTGGAGTACAGTGGCGCGATCTCCCAGGCTCAAGCAATCCTCCCACCTCAGCCTCCTGAGTAACTATGACTACAGATTTGCACCACCATGCCCCACTAATTTTTTCTACTTTTTGTAGAGATGAGGGTCTCACTATGCTGCCCAGGCAGGTTTTGAACTCCTGAGCTCATGCTATCCTCTTGCCTCAGCCTCCCAAAATGCTGGGATTACAGGCATGAGCCACTGTGCCCAAAGTATGGATTTTAAACATGTAAAATGTATTGTATATACATTCCACCTCAATAAATCTGTTAAGAAATTATTACATGGGAATAAGAAATGTTTTGTTTCTGGGTCCATCCATTCCTTGGGTTGGTTCAGTGCAACTTTGTGGCTCTTGACTGTTTCTGGTCTCAGAAAATGCAGCTTCCAACTTAAAACCCTCCAAACTCCTTAAGGAAGACCACTTGACTCCAGCCACATGGGACTTTCTTCCAGTTCCCAACACTCCAAGCTTCTCCCTGTGCAACGTTCGCTCTTCCTGCACACCTTCTAATTGAAGGGGCAGAATTCATTGCTTCTCTTTATGCTAGCCTCTGCTCAAATACCACCTTTTCAGAAAAACCTCCCTGACAGGCCGGATGCCATGACGCATGCTTGTAATCCCAGCACTTTGGGAGCCTGAGGCAGGCGGATCACTTGAGGTCAGGAGTTTGAGACCAGCCTGGCAAACATGGTGAGACCCTGTCTCTACTAAAAATATCATAATTAGCTGGGCATGGTGGTGCCTGCCTGTAATCCCAGCTACTTGGGAGGCTGAGGCAGGAGAATCGCTTGAAATCTGGGAGGCTGAGGTTGCACCATTGCATTCCAGCCTGGGCAGCTCCAGAGAAACTCCATCACCAAAAAAGAGAGAAACTCCATCACCAAAAAAAAAAAAAAAAAAGAAAAACCTCCCGACACTGTCTATACTCTGTCTATAACTGGAGCAACCACATAATTTACTGCCCAAACCAAGACACTTCAACAAATATAAACAAATATAAACTGACACTGTCCCAGGCTGGGGATGGGGGGACGTACAGCGGTCTCTCTGTCTTTAACAGTTTCCCAACAACCCCCGTAAAGTCACTTTCCATCCCATTGCCGTCAGCACTTTTCCCTAGTTAATAGTAATTGTTTATGTTTCTTGTTTGTTTCCCTCACAAGAGATTCTATGAATTTACCACTGAATTCCCCAGCCTACACCAATATCTGGCACACTGCAAGGATGCATACATATTTGCTGAGTGAATGAATACATCGCAACCGAGATGCAATGCAGGAACAGGATTTCGAAAGCAAATATGGATTTTTGCTTTTCTGAGTTTTAAGATCCCTCCTTCTTTCATTCAACAAATATTTAACAAATATCTACTGTGTACCCAGGCCCTGTATTAGATGGGGAGCCAAGGAGATCTCAAGGTGCTTACAGTCCAGTGAGGTCTGAGAAAGACAGTCACCTAATCACAAACACATCTACTCACGACCCATGCTGTGAAGAAATGGCCCCATTGGCTGGACGTGGTGGCTGATACCTGTAATCCCAGCACTCTGGGGGGCCAAGGCTGGCGGATCACTTGCACCCAGTTTGAGACCAACCTGGGCAAGATGATGAAATCCCGTCTCTATAAAAATGTAAAAAATTAGCCAGGGGCAGTGGCTTATGCCTGCAATGAGAGGTGGCTCAGCACTTTGAGAGGCCAAGGCGGGTGGATCACAAGGTCAGGAGTTCGAGACCAGCCTGGCCAATATAGTAAAACTCCGTCTCTACTGAAAATATAAAAATTAGCCAGGTATGGTGGCAGGCACCTGTAATCCCAGCTACTCAGAAAGCTGAGGCAGGAAAATCACTTGAACCTTGGAGGCGGAGGTTGCAGTGAGCCGAGATTGCATCACTGCACTCCAACCTGGGTGACAGAGCAAGACTCCATCTCAAAAAATTTTTTTTTTCTAAATTAGCAGGGCTCAGTGGCATACACTTGTAGTCCCCACTACTCCGGAGGCTGAGGTGGAAGGACCCTTTGGGCTCAGGAATTCAAGGCCAAAGTGAGCTACATATGGCACCACTGCACTCCAGCCTAGGCAACAAGGCAAGACCCTATCTCTAAAAAAATAAACAAAAACAAATAAATTAATAAAGAAAGGCCCATAATGCCTATAATACATGATGGTATAACAGCAAAGCATGGGCAAGGGCTGACCTAGTCTGGGACATTAAAGGAAGGGTTCCCTGAGTGGCCTGTGGGCTGAGGGTAGGGAATTCCAAGGCAAACAGCCTACACAAAGGCTCTGAGGCTGGAGGGAAGGTGAGCAAAGAGACTGAAACCCAGAAAAAGCCAATGTGGCCAGCCCACAGGCAACCAAAAGGGCCAGTGAGAGCAGCTGAGTCAGGAAAGGTAGGCAGGGTGCTGCTCTGGCTTGCAGGCTCTGTGCACTAATGTGTTTGACCTTCATTCAAGGAGCACGCATTAATTGGCATTTGCTTAAATGGCTATGTACAGCATTCTGCCTCAGTTCCCTGGGCCCTGAAAGAAATGGCAATTGCCTGGGCACAGTGGCTCACGCCTGTAATCCCAGCACTTTGAGAGGCTAAGGTGGGCAAATCCCTTGAGCCCAGGAGTTTGAGACCAGTTGGCCCACATGGCGAAACCTTGTCTCTATTAAAAATACAAAAATTAGCCGGGCATGGTGGTGCACACCTGGGGTCCCAGCTACTTGGGAGGCTGAGGCAGAAGGATTGCTTGAGCCTCAGAGGTAGAGGATTGCAGTGAGCTGTGATCACTCCACTGTACTCCAACCTGTGTGACAAAGCAAGACCCTGTCTCAAAAAAAATAAAAATAGCAACCATGGAATGATTAAATTTAAACCAAGAAATTTTACTTAATCATTTTACACGAAACAAACTGGAAACAACACAGAAACTTAACAATGACATTTCTACACTAGAGTCAAATGGGGGTGAGGAGTAAGGCTTTCCAAGAAAAAACAGCCAAAGCACCAGAGGTGAGGTACAAAGGGCTGTGGGCGCTGGGGAAACAGAAGGCACGGTCCTTCTGAGCCAAGTCTCAAAGAAAACGGATCAAGACAGGGAAGGCGCAAGGGGCTTCCAGAAGAATGCAGATTTAGTGTGGGATGAGGGGTTTTTGGTTTTGTTATTGTTTAGTAGAGAGAATAAGGCAGAGAAAGCTCGAGGTTGAGGCCCCTTTAGCACGTGCTCTGTGCACCCAGCTGTAGCGTGCAGTACTTGGTTTAGCAGACAATGGTGCCTCCCTAGGACTTGGGGCAGGAGCTGGAACGTCACAGCCCTTCTGGAAAGAACAGCGAGGGTGGGAAGGAGGTCGCAAGTGACTGGAAGAGGGCTGAGGAACAGGAACGCTGTTGGCAGGAAGGTGGTGGCACCAGGGCTCACTCTCTACTTCCTGAGTCTGCAGAGCAGCAGAGTCCCGCGCGGGGACTCAGGGTGGCCGCGGCAGCTAAGAGCCTGGACCCGTCACAGTGGGCATGGCCTTGAGCCCTGGGGTCCCACACCACGGTACCACACCCCCACCCGCCTTTATTTCCCACATCAGCCGTCTGGGGGTGAGGACTGCTCAACAGGACCACGACCTAGAACCCGGAAAGAGGGCTCGCCTGACTCCGGCTGCTGCTGCTGCACCCCTGGCAGGAGCGGACTGCCGGGCACCCCCTGTTCCCGCATCTTTTCGCCAGGCGTTGAGGTCGCCCCTAGGGAGAGGCAGTGACCTCGGCGCCCGCGCCTCTCTGGGACAGCCTGGGGCTCCACGGCGCGCGCCCGGGCCCCCTGTACTTCAGGGAGGCGGGGATTACCATGGCGATCCCTTTCTCAGCCGAGCTGGCTGCCGTGGCATAGACTCCCGATCCCGAAGCCCTTCGCATCCACCGGGGCCGCTGCCCCAGCGCCCGTTCCCGCCGCGCCCCCGGCCCCTTTTCCGACCTCCTCGGGGAACAGCCGCGGGCCCGGCCTCGGCACGCCTCCCAGGGGTCGCTGGGAGGGGCGCGGCTGGCTGAGGGGGCAGCCAGTTGCGGAGTCGCCTGGACGCGAGGCGCCTGATCGCCCCACACCGCACCAGCGCCGCCGCACAGAGGCCGCGGGAGCTGTGCTCTAGGGGCAGGCGAGCGCTTCGGGGGCGGGGCCGCGCGCACAATCGCCGGAGGCGGGGCAGGGCCTCGCCGAATTACCGTTGCCACGGCAACGCGGCCGCGCGCGCGGGCTGGGCCATTACGTAGCGCGAGGCAGACCACGCCCTCCAGCTCTAGAAACCCGGGTTCGGCGCTGGAGTGTCTGGGTGGGAGCTGCCGGAGCTGCGTGCGCTGGGCGAGGGGCGGGCGCGGGCGGAGCTCCCACTGGGGTGGCGCTGGGGTGAGAGCGCAGGCTAGGCGGCTCACTCAGCCGACTTGGGAGAACTAATTGGAGAAACTCTTTTGGAAGACGAGCATAAGGACTGTGACGGTGAAGGGGGAATATAACGTGAAATGTTTGCAAAAGAGCCCGGTAAAGAGAGTCAGGGCCCGAGAGACTAAAGGGCTGGAGAGGGAGTTCATTTACAGATAGGATTGGGCGAGAAAGGTACAGCTCTGCCTCCAGCCTTGCTGGTTCCAGCCTCCCTCTCCTTAGGGGAAGGCTACACTTTGGGGGATATGACTCATTGTTTTTTTATGACTTGTCATTCCTTTTTTTTTGGAAAAACTCTGTCGTCCAGGCAGGAGTGTAGTGGCGCGATCTCGATTCACTGCAATCTCCACCTCCCGAGTTCCCAAGTTCAAGCCATTCTTCTGCCTCAGCCTCGCGAGTAGCTGGGACTACAGGCCCCCGCCACCACGACCGGCTAATTTGTATTTCCAGTAGAGATGGGGTTTCGCCATGTTGGCCAGGCTGGTCTCGAACCCCTGACTTCAGGTGATCCTCCGGCCTAAGCCTTCCAAAGTGCTGGGATTACAGACGTGAGTCACGGCGTCTGGCCTGTGATTCCTTTTTATTCAACAGTTGTTGAGCATCTGCCACATGCCTAACACTCTTCTAGGCCCTGGAAACTGAGCTCTGAATAAGGCAAAGTCCTTGGTCTTTTAAGGGGTGTTCTGAGGGAGGTGGTTGTGATGAAATGGAGGGCCTGGAGACATTAAAAGTGATAGGGACAATATGGCATACTGCATTAAATTCATGTGACCACTAGGTGCTCTTTTAGATTGGCGACTGGGGAAGTCCTCTTTAAAACAGATATGATGACAAGGAGCAGTCAATTATGCCAAAATGAGGGAGAGGAGGAGGAGACTAGACCAGGGAGCAGGAGTAGGGTCCTGGAAGGCTCTGCAAGGATCAGATGTTTTGTTTGCTTTCTCTTGAAAGATGAACTGGCTTTCAAAGGGGAGTGTTTATGTTCTCTGTTCTCATAGATATGCTTTCCCTAATCCTTCATTAACAAAGCAATCCCAACTTCCAACTACTTTCAATATGTCTGTGAGTTTTTCTTATGAGTCCATATGCCCTGGATACGGCAAATTCTCCTGCTCTCCACCTCTTCTCTGCTTGCCTCTGTCTTCATCCCTGGATGGGGCTGGCCCACCCCAGTGTCTTGCACTTTCTTTGGGTTATCTCATTTCTCCCAAGGTTACTCCTGTGAGATCACACCCAAATCTGTTCCAGCCCTGCTTTTCCTGACCTCCAGATCAGAGATTCAGAGTCCTGCTACAAGGACTCTGAATTGAGGTGGAATCCCACCCTGTCGCCCAGGCTGGAGTGCAGCATCATGATCTCTGCTCACCGCAACCTCCACCCGCTGGGTTCAAGCAATTCTCCTGCCTCAGCATCCCGAGTAACTGGGATTACAGGCGTGTGCTACCACACCCGGCTAATGTTTATATTTTTAGTAGAGATGGGGTTTCGCCCTGTTGGCCAGGCTGGTCTTGAACTCCTGACCTCAGGTGATCCGCCTGCCTTGGCCTCCCAAAGTGCTGGGATTACAGGCATAAGCCACTGCGCCTGGCCTCCTGCTATAAGTTTTAAAACTCAGCTGTCTTGAAAGTAGATCAGTGGTTAAGGTGTGCCATGATGGGGGAGGATTGACTCTGCAATGGGTTAAGAGGAAAATTCCAGAACGATGGAAATTCTTCATCCTGATTGTGGCGGTAGTTACACAGGTGCAGGGCTGGCTGCATTTGCATGGCTCAGAGCAAAATGAAAACAGGAAGAAGCAGGAAAAAGTGCCACTAAAGGTGCTACATTAGAAAGCTTTCCTTTTCTCTGCAGTCTCTAGCAACCTGTTATGCTGTTTTTATTTACTGTTTAATGTGTTTCCTTCAGTCCAGGAACACTCCCTTTCCTACCTATCTTCCCATAGCAGATGGGTGACCCTTGAGGGATTGCACCCTCTGTGCCGGGAGGTGCTTGGTACCATGACTGTGGTGGACAGGATGCTCACATGTCTCACTCTGTTTTGTTTTGTTTTTTTTTTTGAGATGGAGTTTCGCTCTTGTTACCCAGGCTGGAGTGCAATGGCGCGATCTCGGCTCACCGCAACCTCCGCCTCCTGGGCTCAGGCAATTCTCCTGCCTCAGCCTCCTGAGTAGCTGGGATTACAGGCACGCGCCACCATGCCCAGCTAATTTTTTGTATTTTTAGTAGAGACGGGGTTTCACCATGTTGACCAGGATGGTCTCGATCTCTTGACCTCGTGATCCACCCGCCTCGGCCTCCCACAGTGCTGGGATTACAGGCTTGAGCCACCGCGCCTGGCCTACATGTCTCACTCTGAATGTGCTGGGGTACTGCCATGCCCTGCCTTAGATGGGGGTGGGGGTGGGGGTAGGGTAGGGTGAGGGTGGAGATTGGGGGTTGCTCTGGGTGACAAGAGGTGAGACTCAGCAGGAGCTAAGATGCCAACCCCCTTCCCCCAACATGCTCCATTTTCCCATTCAATTTTATTAACAAAACACAAATTCAAAGGTAAAGTTAAGGCCGCGCTCGGTGGCTCACACCTGTAATCCCGGTACTTTGGGAGGCTGAGGCAGGCAGATCATGAGGTCAAGAGATCAAGACCATCCTGGCTAACGTGGTGAAATCCTGTCTCTAAAAAAAAAAAAAAAAAAAAAAAAATTAGCCAGGTATGGCTGCACGTGCCTGTAGTCCCAGCAACTCGGGAGACTGAGGCAGGAGAATTGCTTGAGGCGGAAGTTGCAGTGAGCCAAGATCGTGCCATTGCACTCCAGCCTGGCCACAAAGTGAGACTCCGTCTCAAAAGAAAAAAAAAGGTAAAATTACTAAGAAATTTTCACACCATGAACTCAGAGCATTAACCCCCAAGCATGTGGCCCTTCTGAGAGTGGGACTCTGTGTGCCCACTGGGGTGAAACAGCCCATGAACCTGGCCCTGCACAGGTATATACATTTGTCAGAATTAAATTATATACTTCAAATGTGTACAGTTTACAATATATAAATTATAATTTGATAAGTTGATTTTGAAACTTCAACTCTTAGGAAACTTACCCTACCACATCTAAAATGAAACATGGCTGGGCGTGGTGGCTCACACCTGCAAGTCCTTTGGGAGGCTTGAGGCAGGTGGATTGCTTGAACTCAGGAGTTTGAGACCAGCCTGGGCAACATGGTGAAACCCCATCTATTAAAAAAAAATACAAAATTTACTGGGCATGGTGGCACATACCTGTGGTCCTAGCTACTTGGGAGGCTAAGGTGGGAAGATCACTTGAGCCCAGGAAGTCAAGATGGCAGGGAACTGTGATTGCACCACAGCACTCCAGCCTGGGTGACAGAGAAAGACCCTATCTCTAACTAAATAAAATCAAACACTTCTTATAGCAAATGTGCATCCTTCTGTTTTGGATGATGGCCTCAGCAGCCATATAGGTACCCACGCTAGGAACTGGTCACCTTTGATCCATGTCTCTCTCCTTATATCTAGAACACTCTCATCTGCATCTACTTGACGCTGCCTCCTGACTTCCTTTTTTTTTTTTTTTTTTGAGACAGAGTTTTGCTCCTTCACCCAGACTGCAGTCACTGCCGCCTTGGTTCAGGCAATTCTCCTGCCTCAGTTTCCAGAGTAGCTGGGATTACAGGCATGTGCTACCACGCCTGACTAATTTTTGTATTTTTAGTAGAGATGGGATTTTGCCATGTTGGCCAGGCTAGTCTCGAACTCCTGACCTCAGGTGACCCACCCGCCTTGGCCTCCCAAAGCGCTAGGATTACAGGCATGAGCCACCATACCCGGCTGATTTCCTTCCTTCCTTTCCTTTCCTTTCTTTTCTTTAATATATTTTTTTCTTTAATAGAGACGGGGGTCTCCCTGTGTTTCTCAGGCTAGTCTTGAACTCCTGGACTCAAGGGATCCTCTTGCCTCAGCCTCTGAATGTGCTTGGATTACAGGCATAAGCCACCACACCTGACCCTGACTTTTTAAAGCCTGTGGATGGTGCCACCTGCCCCCAATCACCCAGCTGCAAGCCTTTCAGTGTGCCCTCCTGCACTGCTTGCCAAGCCTCGCCTCTCTGGGGGACCGCCCTTCCGCAGCCACCTCTTCATCAGATCGCCACCCCACCCGGGCCTGTGCCATCTCTGGCCTGGGCTGCTGCCTCAGGCGTCTGCACTCCATCTAGTATTCTTTCTAAAGCACAGATTTAATCATGTCTCACCCATTTTCTCCTACAAAGAACTCCTTGGTATGGTATGAATATCTGTAGTCTTTCCGAATCTCACCTCCATACTTACCCTTGCTGGCCCCTCATGCCTTATTTTGGCCACTCTCCTCTGCCTCTGGGATTTGTGGTGCTCCGCACCTCCCAGCCTCTACTTATGTGGTCCGCTTTAGCTGGAGTGTTTTCTCCTCCTTGCTTATCATCAGAAGCCTGTTCAACCTTCAAGGCCCAGCACAAACTGTGAACTCATTAATCACTAACAATACTTTATGCCATTAAACTCAGCCTCAGCCTCTGGCATTGCATGAATCTGCACTCCAGTTAGAAAGAGGTTTCCTTGTCTTGTCCACATGAGCAGCCTCTTTTAGATTCCTCACTGTATGCCACAGCAGTAATGATAGACGTTAATGGAATAATTTTCATGGTTCATTGAGAAGTATTATTGCCTTCATTCTGCCAAGCCTAGAG